AGTTGCTCGCCATACGGTGCACCTGTTCTCTTCGTCCGTAAGAAGAACAAAGATCTACGGTTATGCATCGACTATCGAAAACTTAACGCACAAACCGTAAAGAACGCCGGCCCTCTCCCTCGGATTGATGATCTCCTTGAGCGGTTAGGCGGCGCGACATACTTCTCGAAGTTGGACTTGAAGTCAGGTTACCACCAGATTGAAATCCAGCCTCAAGATCGGTACAATCCGCGTTCAAGACACGGTACGGGCATTTTGAGTGGGTTGTCATGCCCTTTGGCCTCACCAATGCCCCCGCAACTTTTCAAGCACTATGACGACTGAGTTTCGCGACTTACTCGATCGCAACATCCTCATCTACCTCGATGACATCTTGGTCTATAGCAGGACGTTGGATGAGCACATCACACACCTTTGCGCTGTTTTGAATCGTTTGCGACTGGCCAAGTACAAAGCGAACCGCGATAAGTGCGAGTTCGCCAAGCAAGAGCTTGAGTATTTCGACCACTATGTTACACCGAAAGGTATTCGTCCCTTAGCGGACAAGATCCAAGCCATCGTGGATTGGCCGGAACCCCGTTGTACGACGCATGTACGCTCTTTCATGGGTTTGGTTGGATACTATCAGTGATTCGTCGAGTCATACTCGAAAGTGGTCGCTCCTTTGTCGAGACTTCAGTCCCCGAAGGTGCCCTTCGAGTTCGACGACGCCCCACACTGATACCCTGCCTTACCTATACTATGTGTTGAAAGCCCACAAGTCTCCTCCAGCTCTTCGCAGCATTCTTGGAGTCACAACACAAAATACTTGTCCTGTCCCCCCACGCACTCGCTCTCGTCCTTCTATCCGCACCATTCATGAACGGCCTCCTCACAAACCCTTGGCTAGCACAACGGCTACTTCGTCCTGTCTCAGCACTGCTTTGCAAGGCGTGATCTCTACTCTTCGTGAGAAAGACACTGAGCTCTATCAACAGGAAGGTGTTCGACGATGCTGGATCGTCCAGAGTGCCGATGAGGTGGCGATTGACCTGAAAAACAATGTGTCCTCTCTCCGTGGCCTCTCTCCTCGCACGGTTGATTTCACCACAATGTACACCAACCTTCTACGGACGCTTCGGGATAYGGTATTGGTGCGGTGTTGGAACAGTGTCACGAGGACGGTTGGCATCCGGTTGAGTATTTTTCCCAAAAGGTGCCTCTCGTCAACACTCTCGACGACGCTAGGAAGAAAAAGCTACTCGCGTTCGTCACCGTTCTCAAACGGTGGCACCACTTTCTTCTCGGTCGTCGGCGTTTTAAATGGAATACGGACAACAATTCGTTGACCTTTTACAAAACGCAGGACACAGTCACTAGCACGATCGGTCGATGGATGTATTACATCGGCCAGTTCGATTTTGACCCGTGCCACATTCCCGGTCCTGCCAATCGAGCTGCGGACGCCCTCTCACGACGGCCCGACTTTTGTGCCATTGTGACCACGGCATTCGACCTCGATGACGATCTGCAGCCGCATTTCGTCAAAGGCTACAAGTCCGATCCGACTTACTCTACGCTATATGGAGAGCTCTCATCGGATCACCTGCCGGCTAACCACTATCGGATTTCCGACGGGTTCCTTCTCCTTCACACGAGAGGAAATGACTTGTTAGTTGTGCCCCAAGATCGCATCTTACGGACTCGTCTTCTCGGCGAATTCCACGATGCACGACTTTCGGCACACCTTGGCCTCCGCCAACGTTTTCACTGGCCCGACGTCCTCCATGACGTCACGAGGTACGTGTAGTCATGTGCAGTTTGCCACCGTAACAAGGGTCGATCTCGAGTCCCCTCCGGCGAACTAAAACCGTCGCAGATTCCTCGGGCACCGCGCCTCTCCATTGCTATGGACGTGACAGGCCCGTTCCCCCGCGATCGCCACGGCCATGACGGTATTCTCACGGTCGTTGACCGTTTGAGCCAGTATACTCGCTTCCTTCCTTGCAAGTATCATGCTGCAGCACCCGAGCTCGCACGACTCTTGCACACCGGTTGGATTACCAACCAGGGTGTTCCGGAAGACATAGTGAGCGACCGAGATACTTGCTTCATGTCAACCTTCCCTCATGGCTGAGTCCGGTACGACAACGAAGCCGAGCTCGGCTCGGCACCTGCAGACAGATGGCCAGACGGAGCGAGCGCACCAGACCGCTCAGATGATGTTGCGTACGCTCATCCGTCCCGACCAGAAAAATTGGGTTGACCGGCTTTCCGACATCGAGTTCGCCTATAACACTTCGGTGCACCCGACGATCTGCGTCACACCATTCGAGCTACATCATGGTGGAGAGAAAACACGGATCTTCGCTGATCTCCTTTTGCCACAAGCTGCCGACATAGACGTCCCTTGCTCTCCCGCTTCCGTTCGGAAGTACCGGGACTTGCTGATCAAAGCCCGCGAAAATATTCAAAAGGCTCAGATCCGCATGCAGCAGCAGGCTAACCGACGTCGACTTCCATGTCCTTTCCGCGAGGGAGACCTTGTTTGGGTCCTCTCCGAGGA